AAACTCAAGCTTAATTCTACAAGTTGGAGACGGCTCACGAGTTCGTTGGTGTATTATGAAATAAAGAAAATAATATTAACTTAAGCTAGTGTTATAATAAAATGACGAATAGGATAAGCAATTTGGAGAAAAATAATAAAAAAAAACACTTAATATAAAATACTTAATATAAAACGCAAACTATTATTTTTTTGAATATTTTTAATAATTTAAAGATCAAATCTTGAGTTAAAATACCTTTTGAGTATATTTTGCATTAATAATTTTGTAAACGAGCCGGCTTACGAGCTAAAAAGCCGAGTCATGGTTGGCTTGAGCTTAGCTTGTTAGCTCATCGAGATCAACTCACGAGTCATTCATCGAGCAGAGCCTGAGTCAGCTTGGCTCAGTTACATGCACCATGCTTTATTCGGTAGCATCCAATGCTCTACGTGAGATAAAAAAGCAATTACAAGGTAATGCAATTTTGCAAAATACCTTCGACATGACTAAAAGTTGCATTAATTGAAGAGATCCATTTATCCTTTTCTCCATTCATTCTTTCTAACATCATCCTCTTGTTATATTCCTCGGTTAATTTAGCCTCGTGAGCACGACCTTCAGCCTCCGCCATTGCTTTTACTCTAATTGTTTCACGCTCTATTTCAGCTGCATGTTTCTCAGTTTCGCGTTGTTGAGCTTGAATCTGCTCTTCCGCAGCACGTCTGGCTTGTTCTTTCCTTATAGAGGATTCCTCTTGCATTTTGACTAGCTCAACATTCTGCTGTCTATGAGCTTCATGTTCTGTCTGCAATGAAAATAGTTAGGAAGTTTTACGTACATACCAGACAATTCTTATGTAATTACATATCTAACACCAAAAGTTTGATATTTACACCTATAACACATACACCTATAACACCTTGATGTCATAAACCTATGCATAAAAAGATGTATTTAACTTTTAAAAAGATAGTGATGTTAATGATTCAAGCGATATGTGTGAGTGAAGGTGTTAAATATGTGGATGCATAAGAATTGGGCGGTATGTATGTAAATGCACCAAATAGTTATTTTGAGTTAATTGTCAAGTCAAATTAGAAGAAAACTCCAAAAAAAATTATAAGGAATGATCTACATTAAAAATTAGGAATATTTACATGCATACCACTCAATTTTTATGTATTTAAATATCTAAGAGCAAAACTTCAACTTTTACATACATGAGACTTTAACTATGCATGAAAACGTGTATTTTACTTTCCATGAGGTAAATGGAGGTTGTATACCCAAATAGAGTTATATACGCTAATAAGTTTCTTTTCAAGGACACATCATAGAGATTAAAAGGCCTTATGGGTTTCAAAGACCCATATCCATAGATCGAGTCATTTCTAAGCTAAGCTCATCTACCGATTTAGTCAAGCTAAGCCATCATGTAGAAGTGATCAAGCACGACCCACCTGCCAAAGTGATCCATCTACCCCTGGACGAACCAGCCATTGGGGAAGACTATTATTACCTACAAGGGCAAGCGTCAGTCCTTACTTATGGCATCGTCTGAAGTGGTTAAGTCGAGGCCACCTGTCGAAGTGGCCGTGCTGAGCTCACCTGCAGAAGTGGTAGAGTTGAGCCCACCTACCAAAGTGGTCGAGATGAGCCCACCTTTCGAAGAGCTGAGCCCACCACTGAAGTGATGTCTAATTTGGGATAAACCGACCATCGGGGAAGATCATCATTACCTACAAGTAAAAGTGTTAAGTCTTACTTATGATGCCACCCAACACCCGCATCATGATCTTTTCACCAAGACACGCTGGACAAACGTGGAATCGTACAAAATGTGATTTTATATTTATTTTCTCGCGTTTATAAAAGGGAGATCAAAGGGACTCTTAAAGAATCATTGCTTTTAGGGACCTCAAAAAGGAACTCACTCTCTTTTCTCTCTCTCTCTATCTCCATCTAAGCTAATTTTGGCCAACAAGGAATCAAAAGTAAATAGGGAGTGAGAAACGCGAGTTCTAGCAACACATGCATTATCTTTTTCCATTCATTCCTCTTAAAAGAGAGGTTTTTACCGAATTATACGAACTCACGAACAATATGAGACCATACATTCTAAAATGATTTAACATCCTAAAAGATGTAGTGAGCGTGAAGTTCATACTCAAACTCTCAAGAAGATCCTTCAATCGTACGATATAAAAAAGAAAAACGATGGATTTGGCTAGAGAGTTCATGACACAACATATCAAAGAGCTAAGGGAACAAGTCCTGAAAGCTATACAAGATTCAAAACAAGAAGTCTCAAGATCTCGTTCCAGGGCTTAGCCTAAATATGGGATCATCAGGGTCAGTGGTTCGCAGACGAGAAACGTAAAGACAAGAACCACCAAGGCTAGATACGTCTAGGCAGGACCTAGATGAGCTCGTGGTTGAGACTAGAAGAAATAGAAGAAGGGAAGAACCTTACGCCCTAGAGCAAGAAATTTTTGAATCCTCAAACAAAGGAGTGTCATCTGATAGAGGATAATCCCCAAACTATAGCCAAATTCTTTTTCGACAAAGGTAGCGTAAACACATGGCAGTTCGAACTAAAAAGCAAATCCAAGAGAGTAAAAGTGATTTGACCAAATGTTGTGAATCATCTTCTATCGAGAAGATTGGAAGCCCCGAGATAACAAACCTTATAGGAGCAAAGCCCCTAAGGTAGTGAGACTTGCAGGAGAGTAAATGGTTCTCTAATAGAAGATAATACCTAATCTAAGACAATTTCTTCTTCTAAGGAAACATAACCTCCTAGTAGTTTGAATTAAGAAGCGAATACAACAAAAATGCATTTGATTTCGAAAAGAACGAATAAGAAAAATGAATAGCTAATCTCATGCACTTGTTACACAAAAAGTAACAATCTTAGTGAGACTCAGGGAACTCGCCAGATGTAGAAACAAAAAAGTGAATTGCAGCCCAAAATGAAAATGTCACAAAGGAGAAGAACAAAATGAATTAAAAAAAATAAATTTATTCATAATATAATGGTTACGAATTTAAAGCTGAATAACAGGGATAACCTCACACCTATTTATAACCGTGCCAAAAAGGTAACCGTTGAGAAGCAGAAAAGAGGCAACGTTTCACGAAGATGAGCCACCAAAGAAGCAAAATAATTAATTTACCCTTTTATATCCCGTTACAAAATATTTTTCAATATTCCTATAGCTGATGCCAAGTTAACCTCTTAGTGGGTCTCACGGGGATAAGACAAGTCACGCTCAGCAGCCCAGGAATTGTTGACCCATCAGACAGAGGAAGCAATCCACTGCAAAAAATTGGGTCATCAGATAAGGCTCTTTTCAAGGACACGTCACATAGATTAACATGCATCTGGGCTTCAGAGGCCCACATCCATAGATTAAGTTATTTTCAAGCTAAGTCAACCTGCTGAAGTGGTCGAGTTGAGCCCACTTGTCGAAGTGCTCGAGCTGAGCCCACCCGTCAAAGTGGTCGAGTTAACACCACCAGTCGAAGTGATTGAGCTAAGCCCAATTGCAAAGTGTTCAAGCTAAGCCCACTTGTAAAAGTGATTACTCTAACCCAAGATGAACCAGCCATCGGGAAAGACCGTCATTACCTACAAGAACAAGTGCCTATCCTTACTTATGCCCCGCCTGACCCCGCATCACGATATTTTCATAAAGGCACATTGTACAAAATGTAATTTTACATTTATTTTCTCACATATATAAAAGAGAGGTCAAAGGGACTCAGAGGCTCTCTACTTCTTAGAACCTCGAAAAGAGAATCTTTTTCTTTCCCTCTCTTTCTCTCTCCCTTTTTTCTCTCTCCCTTTTTCTCTCTCTCCCCTAAGCTAATTCCCAGCCACCTAGGAATCGGAAGCAAATAAAGAGCCAGAAGCATGAGACATAAGACACATCCATCATCTTCTTACAAGCAGTCCTCCTAAAAATAGGGTTTTTATCAAATTGTATGAACTCACGAACAACACAAGACCCTACGTCCTAAAATGATTCAACAGATATATTTTTCATGTGATACGAAAGATTTGAGTAGTATAAATGTAAGTAAATTTTAGGTGTTAGATATGTAAAAATATAGAAATTGGGTGTGTTATGTATGTAAATGCGCCTAAAAAATATCATCATAACATTACCCATACAGAATTAGAGTTCAGCTAACAACCTGCATTCTTTTTCTGGCTAGTTCATCTTCATAGCGTGCCATTTGAGCTTTTGTCTGGGCTTGTTGTTGAATGAGATTCCTTTGCTCCTCTGCCAGCTTGTGTTGTTTCTCCTGCCAATTGAAAAGGCTGTTTTTATTAGCTACAAAATAACTATGATCAATAAAACATTTTTACTCTCTTTTCATATATGGGAAATTTGCATACGCAACACACAATTCTTATGTATCAACATATCTCATATCTAAACAGTCATATTTACATACATAGCACTTTGGTGCTTTAAACCTATACATGAAAATGTGTACTTCACTTTTAGAAAGTGGTAATAGTACTATTTTTTATGTAATATTAAAGATTTGAGTGCTATGTGTGTAAATATGAAGATTTAGGAGTGAGATACGTAAATACATAAGAATTATTTGCTATGTATGTAAATGCCCCCATTTATATATTTCCAGGAGATAGGATTCTTGTTTTCCAAATTTTTTCTATAACTAGGATCAAATACCAGTTGTATCTCTTTAGCCTTAGCCAAGTTAGGGGCCCATAAAAGCTTCCTTGATAGCTTCCAATCTCACAACCAATTAGGAAAGTAAATAAATCGAGGACGACTGAGTACTACGCTTTTAAGTTCATTCATTTATATTCGTATTGAGTTCGAGCCAAGATTGAACATTACCAAAATTTTAAAATCTATTCAAGTTTGTTAATTTATTTTCATATCAACTCCTAATTATAACTAAGCTTTGATTAATTTTAAGAAATTATACATTTGGGCTAGTATGTACATATATTGTTTTATTATCAGACAGCAATGGATTTATATAATTTAATTAAAACTAGCATGATTAACTAGGTATTATTTATTTTATTTGGTAAATTTCAAATATTAATTTTTTTAAAAAATAAATATGAATATCCAACAATTTGTTTTAATTTTATCGTATTTATACCACTTATAATATATACAATTTCAACAATATCTAACAAAAAAAAAGAGTACAGAATTATAGAATAACACATCTATTAAGCAAATATATCATCATTAAATAATTATTTTTCTTGTTCTGAATGAGCTAATTGTTAATCAACAAACAAACATTTTCATGAAATTAATGAATGAGGGGCTCAATGTTCAATCTTATTCATTTAGATGTGAAGCAAGCTTTTAAAATTTTGTTCAAGCTTGTTCAATTAATTAAATAAACAAAAATAAATGAGTCTTATATGAACAAGCATATCAACTCATAGCACTACAAGACTACAACCAAGAGGTTCATGCCATAATTCATTGGGCAAATGGGTGCAAATAAAGAGCAGGATGGACCACACTCTAACGATTATCAATGGGCGGCTAGACAATGCCCTTGAAAAGCAACAAAAATCCCATTAACTAGTAATAGCTCACAACATAGTTCTACAAAAAGAAGAGGGGTGTAAACGAGTTCAACTGAGTTTAAGTCCTGCCTAACTGGAGCTCGGCTCATTTATTAAAAGATATACATGAGCTCGAGCTTAGTTTGTGGTACTAACATTAGGCTTGCGAGCGGGAGAGAAGGATAAGTGTCGCAGTAGCTCACCAAAGATGGCATCAACGTGACCGGAATCCAGCTAGTTGAGCCGGCTAGCAAGCCAACAAGTCAAACCTCGATGAGCTTGAGCTTGAGCTCGAGATCAAGCTCGTTTAATATATGAGCATGAGCTTGAGCTCGAGCACAACCTCACAGCTTAATGAGCTCAACCCTTGGTCTCGTTAACGAGTCTAGCCTGAGCCCACCCGAGGGCTGGCTTACTCCCATAATGAAGCATATGGTATGAAAATAGGGAGTAAATTCTACTTTATAGATACAAATATCAATTATGGCATATATGTAAATATTCCAGCCATAGTCAATGTTGATTACAAAGTTCTCAAAAAAATGCCTAAGTTTCAATCCCATCCAATATTAGTAATGTAGTACAAATCCGAGTAGGCAAAGACTTGTTGACTTAAGCGAATCTAAGGCCACAACAAAGTGATGGCACCAACAGCGGCAATCAGCAAATACCCAATCCACATTTTAGATGGTGAATTGCAAAGGCTATGCTGAGTAGCAAGCCAAAGCAGTCAAAGTTAATGAAAATACCACTCAATTCTTATGTATTTACATATCTAGCATGTTAAATTTAGTTTTAATATTTATACCTTCCAAGTTCTCAAACTTTTACTCCCTACTGAACTCCGGCATTTACATATTTTAGACTCATTGTTCCAGACATTTTCAACAAACACCAAAAGTCTGAAGGAAGCAAGAATTATAAAAATTGATGTTTCTTTAATGAATTATAAACAAACTATTTTTTAAAAAATGAATTCATTTGCATGCATTTGATGCACCAGGACAAAAAACTATTATTCAAAAAAACACTAAAAATACTAATTGAAGCTTAAACAAACTCCCAAAACAAAGAAGGCTCACAATATCAGCCTGCGTCTGTATTGCCAAATGCCTAGCTTTCTCAGCAGCAATCTCTGCTAAACGACTCTCCTCTTGCCTCCTCATCAGCTCAAAAACCTAAACCTCAACAACCAAAAACAACAAGAAACCACATCAAACAAACAAACAAGGATCACAACTTACGAAATAAAAACCTAAACTTGGCATAAGATCGAACACCTGGTGGGCATAAGGCGAGCTGTTGATTTCTCGCAGGGCTTTCGCCCCACGTTCCAGCGACTCCGGGTCGAAGCCTCCTGAAGAAGAAGATGATGACGTGGAAGACGAAGCATTCGCATTGGTGGCAGGAGCTGAAGGAGAAGAGAGGTAGGGGAAGCGAAAGGGACCATCGGCGTAGGCAAGCGATGCAAAGGAGGCGAATGAGGAAGCCGCCGCCGCCGCCGCAGCGATGGAGGTACGTGATCGGAATGGCGGCATCGAGGCGGCGGAAGAAGAAG